ATTTAAAGGGGTTAGCAGGTGCGATGATTGGCTAGCTGGGGAGTAACGCTCCTGATTACTTAATGGAAGAGGAGATTGAAGTGACGTGTAACACCAGGGGGTATTGGTCTTCCTCATTGAACTTGCGCTAAGCTTCATTTCAATCAGGAGAGACGTGATGTATGAAATACATGTTTATTACCGGGACGCATGGTATAAGAAAATGATGATTGACAGATTACAACAATGAATTAACTGATGTTTGGAGATTAGGCCCCGGTTTGTAGGATGATCATTCGGGAGAGGAAAGCCGCTCCGATGAACCCCCAAAGAGAAGAGAAGTAAGAAGTACTGAGATGTGAAGCATTTCTTACCTTACTGGCTGATTGAGGAGATCTGTGGATGAAATGAGATAGCACGGGGACATGATGAGAATGTCGGAATCACTGCAGGGTTAATGTGAACGCCAACGATGGTTAGCGCCTGCATAGCGGATTTAGACGAACGCTGACCCACTGGCTGCAACCTGCACGCGCAGGGTTAAACATGACGCTGACCCACTGGCCGCAACCTGCACCCGCAGGGTTAAACATGACGCTGACCCACTGGCCGCAACCTGTACACGTAGGGTTAAACATGACACTGACCCACTGGCCGCAACCTGCACCCGCAGGGTTAAACATGACGCTGACCCATTGGCCGCAACCTGTACACGTAGGGTTAAACATGCCGCTGACCCACTGGCCGCAACCTGCACCCGCAGGGTTAAACATGACGCTGACCCATTGGCCATAACCTGTACACGTAGGGTTAAACATGACGCTGACCCACTGGCCGTAACCTGCACGCGCAGGGTTTAACATAATGCAGACCCACTGGCCGCAACCTGTGCAGCAGGGTTAAACACAATGCGGACCCGAAGGTCACAACGATATGAAGTGTTTAAACATGAACACGGTGACACATACATGTGCTGACTTACTAAGACCACCACCAGTTATATGTATAAATACCGTTTAGTGTTTGAGGGACCTTTGGATGGCCAGCACGGCACTGATGTCCGGGCGGATGTAGGATGTGAAGGCAGAGGAGGACCATCGTCCGAGTTGTTGCAGGGATGAGGATGAGACTCCTTGATTAGCAGCAGATGTAGCTGCGCCTATCCTGAACGAATGCCCCGAGAATAATTGGGGTGATAATCCGGATTTAGAGAGAACTTGCTTTAAGTAGTAGTTGAACCGGTGTTTAGTTAAGGGAATATTCCCTGGAAGAAGAAATAGTGGTGAGAGGATTTGTGGAAGATCTAAGATGCAGGAATTTGATCATGGATTTATAGGGGCAGAGCGGGAATCGTTGCGAGCAGCGTTAACGGAGCAAGCGCCTCCGCATTTGGAGTGCTTAAGTTTTAAACTAAAATGGCTAGCGTGGAAAGATAAGTCGGCAAAGCAGACGTCTTGATCGGGATCGAATGTTAGGGAAACTGTGGCAAATTCTCCTGGTCTGAGAAAAGCATAGAATGCTAACAGGAATAATGCATCGAGTAGTGCGTCGACGTAGGGAGAAAATACTCCTTCTCTGAGTTTGGAGAGCATGAGACGGAGAGTGTAATGGGTCGCCTATGGTCTGCAACGGGGGGGAACGTTTTTAGAAGACCTTTCAAAGTGAGTTTGACTGATTGGTTAGAAAACAGGCTGGGAAAGCTGGGATCGTAACAGCAAACATTAAACTGAACTCCAGCTAGGAGGCCTCGGATGTATTGAGGTTTGAGGTGGCGATCAGTGGCGCAGTAGCACATGAAGGCGCACACGGTGGATATGAGGACGGATTTAAGTGAGATGCCTACAGAAAAACAAAAGAAAGCGAAAGTTCTCCATGCGGAGTCGTATATTTTAAGGGTGGAAGTGGCTAAGCCCTTCCTCATAAAGAACCTGGCGGACTCTAGGTGCCTGGCTAATGGGCTCTCATTTAAGAGAGGGAGAGAAGATGCAGGGGAGGGATCCCGACGGGTTGCGAGCTGGCTTCTGGGCAGAGATTCGGAAGGTCTGGAAATGAAAGCGAGAGAGGGAGTCAGCCACTGTGTTGAGGTGGCCGGGGACATGACGAGCTGAGATGAGGAAGTTATGGGTAATGGAGGACCACGTGATGCTTCTCATGAATGGCATAATGTCATTGCACGGGGAGCGAGCTTTATTAATTATCCCAACTACTGCTTGGTTGTCGCAGAGCACCGAGATGCGTTTCCGTAGCCAGAGGTGACCCCACACGTAACAGGCAACAGCGATAGGGTAGATCTCGTGCAGGGCGGAGGATGAGGCATGATTGGGGAATGTGGGAGGCCATGGGCCCGCAAACCACTCTCCCTGAAATAAACCCCCAAAACCCACGGATGGGGCGGCGTCCGTGAAGAACCTCATTGAGTCGGAGGAATACGCTATGTCATCATAGAAGAAGGTGATGCCGTTCCAGTGATCGAGCAGGAGGGACCAAAATCGTAGGTCTGAGCGGCAGCCTTCGTCTTCCACAACGCGGTCGTGGAGGTTTTTAACGCCCAACGCTGTGTCTAGGAGGCGACAGATGAATGAGCGCCCCTGGGGGATGACGCGCATGGCAAAGTTAACGTGCCCGAGGAGAGAGAGCAGCTGTTTGGTTATGATTTGTTGCTCGCAATATGACTTGGTAATGTCACGTATGCGCTGCAGTTTGTCGCTGGGGGGAGACGCTTTCATCTCTGAGGAATCGAGTGTAATGCCTAGAAACTCCAGGCGTGTGTCGGGTCCTAGGGTTTTCTCTGCGGATAGGGGAACACCTAGCTCCTGAAAGCAGAGTTTAAGTTTTGCCAGGGAGGCGCCTGAGTTGTCCCGAGGGGGATCTACGAGGAGAAAATCGTCCAGCAAGTGAAGAACGGAGGGAATTCTGACAATGTTCAGCAGGATCCAGCAGAGGGCTTCGGAAAGAGAATTAAAAATGCAGGGGCTACTTCTGCACCCGAAAGTCAGGCGGACGGCGAAGTAGAATTTGGATTCCCACCTGATGCCGAACATGTTCCACTGGGACGGATGGATGGGGATGATTTTGAACGCATCAGTAATGTCTGCTTTGGAGAGCCAGGCTCCTTGTCCTGCGAGCTTGATTATTGAACTTGCGCTAAGCTTCATTATAATTGTTAATTTATTTTTATATTTTGTTTTATTTCTCATGAAATCTCTATACAATGAATTTTTCTTTTTACAAGCATTTTGTAAACCCCTTGTGATCCATGGACATTCTACATATTTCATTTTTCTACTGTATTTGACAATTGGGCAGTATGTATTATATAATGATAAAAACATTCTCAGGAATTGATCATATGCACTGTCAATATTGTTTTCTTTGTATAAATCATCCCATCTTTGTGCCAGTAAAGCATTTTTTAAAGCGTTCATTGCTTCCTCTGATCTAACTCGTCTGTATTGAGTAGCATTGTCCGGCATGTTATTACTGTAGTTTTTGTCATAAACTGCAAATACTGGTAGGTGGTCACTTATATCATTTATTAAGAGTCCACTTACTCTATTGTTTTCTATGTCATTTGTGAATATATTGTCTATGAGAGTAGCACAGTGCGATGTGATTCTGCTGGGTCTAGTAATTTTTGGATATAAACTCATACTGTACATTGTGTTGATAAATTCTTCTGTCATGCTGTGATTATTTGGATTTAGAAGGTCAATATTGAAGTCGCCACAAATGAAAACTGTTTTATGAATCACTTTTGAGAATATTTCCTCCATTCAGTCCTTGAAAATCTCAATACTAGAGCCGGGTGCTCTATATATACAACTGATGATTACATTTTTCGTTTTTTCTTTGCAGATTTCAATCGTGATACATTCCAACACATTATCAATCACTGTTGACATATAATTCATCACCTTAAATTGTAAAGTATTGTCCACATACAAGGCTACTCCTCCTCCACCCTTGTTTTGTCTATTTATGTATCTGAGTTCATAGCCCTCCAGCTCAAAGTCTATGCCTTTGTCCTCCGTGATCCAAGTTTCAGATATAATATGGCAATAATGCTAAATGTTTGTTGAAACTGATTTAAATATTCCTTGATGAGGTTAAAGTTTGCATACATGCTTCTGCTGTTGAAGTGAATAATAGATAGCTTGCCCTCTGATGATATGCTCTGGTTGTACTGTTGATCAGTGTAATAACAGCAGTTGTTGATGATAGAAGAGAATAAATTATTGTCTGGGTCTATTTCATAATCCAGATCTTTTGTTTTATAGTCAGTGTATTCAAATGTTTTTAGCAACAGTTGGTCTTGTTCCTTAATCATCTGAGACATATTAATATGTTCCCCTATTGAAGATGATTGCCTCCATTCAGTGTGAGTCATGGTTGTGTGTAAGTGCTTGTTACCTTATGTGTGATCCAGAACATGAAGATTATTGGTATTTATCCAGATCCTCCATATTTCTGATGACCAGTACTTTGGCCTCCTCAGGTGTTCCGTTTAGCTTTATAAATATTTTGCAGTTTGTTGTCCAGGTGTTCTGAATTTTCTTCAGTTTTTTCATGAAGCAAGCCTTTCTGGCTATGTCGCCGTTGTACTTGGTCAGATGCTCGTTGATGTAGACATCTGATCCTTTCAGCTTCCTTCCTTGTTTGAGGAAGGCCGTTTTGTGTTTCCTGTTCACAAACCTGATGAGAATAGCCGGTTTGTTGCCAGTGTTACTCCTTGGCAGGGGGTGGCATGCCTCGATGTTCTCACAGCCCAGTTCGATCCCCTTGGACTGGAGGAAAGCAGCCACCTGTTGCTCCGTGGAGCTGACATCAAGCTCCCCGGGCTCACCCCTGTTGTTAACGGTCACCTTCTGTACCAAAAATAATGATATCTCTGTCAACCATATGTTTTACAGTTTCAATGATTATAGGATTATGGTACAGATTTAATTTCAGAAATGTGGCTGCATTTATTTCCAAGTAAGAACAGTTTGTTTATTGAACACTTTTTCTCTGTTTTCCTGCAGGCCTGACAGAAAACTGCAGGATATTGTTTACAAAATGGTTCCCTTCCTGGAGGAGTGTAAGTACAGTACATACAGTCACAATCATTTTGATGGTCTTCATGAAGGCAAGGCAAGGCAAGGCAAGGCAAGGCAAGGCAAGGCAAGGCAAGGCAAGGCAAGGCAAGGCAAGGCAAGGCAAGGCAAGGCAAGGCAAGGCAAGGCAAGGCAAGGCAAGGCAAGGCAAGGCAAGGCAAGGCAAGGCAAGGCAAGGCAAGGCAAGGCAAGGCAAGGCAAGGCAAGGCAAGGCAAGGCAAGGCAAGTTTATTTATATAGCACTTTTCAACACAAGGCAATTCAAAGTGCTTTACAAAAAATGAAAGAGATTAAGAAAATGGCATTTAAAATCAGTCATTAAAAAGAAAAGCTAATAAAATAAACATTAAAAGAAAAAAGTACATGGATAAAAGTTACAGTGCAGTCTAAGATATGAATAGTTCAATTAAAAGCAGCGACAAAAAGAAAAGTCTTCAGCCTGGATTTAAAAGTAGTCAGAGTTGTAGCGGACCTGCAGGTTTCTGGGAGTTTGTTCCAGATATTTGGAGCATAATAACTGAACGCTGTACTCTATCTCTTTGAACTCTTATTCCACAGCCGAAAGAAAACAAATGTGTCAATTCTACAAGGAGAGAGGGCTGGATGTGCCAAACACAGGTAATTCTTTAAACTTAAACGTTTAAAATCAGAAGGCTTGGTGCAACGTTAGATAAAAAGCTTGTGATTTTCTGTAATCTAATGTTCTGGACTTTAATTTTCCTTCTGTGAATAGCTTTTTGAAGTATTAAGTTAATCTAATTGCGTTGTTGATTTAACAGTGATGCAAATTACAGGGTTCGTACGGGTGCTAGAAATCCTTGAAAATGCTTGAAATTTGACGTGGTGTTTTCAAGGTTGGGAAAGTGCTTGAATTTTGGGAATGGTGCTTGAAATTGAGATAAAGTGCTTGAAAATGTAAATGCTTTACTTTTACAATAAATTGCTGTCTGACTGAATAGTTTGCGTTTTAGATTAAAAGAAAATAATTGCTTCGCTTCTACATAAAACAGCCCTGCTCCGGCCTTCCCGTGCAAGTGTTTTTTTGTGTGTGAACTGGGCATTCTAATGAGAGTGATATAGATGACAGTATGCCAGGAGGTTGCTGTTTTAACGAGCGTTGATTATCCGAAAAAAATACAAGCCATGGCTAAAACGAGGATCAACACAACGAATAGCCTCCTGCAAAGGTTGCCAAAAAGAAATTCAGTTGTTCTCGATGGGAGAGTCTGCGCTGACGAGCCACATGAAAGGTAAGCCGTAGTAGAGCATTTTGGCTTAGGCTAACGTTGCATGTTACGTTTGTTTAACCAGTTAAGCCCTGAGCCTGTTTTTCAGGTTTCAGGCTCGAAAATGCCACTAACACAACAAATGATATATCTTCACTTCTAAAAGGGGTAAATTAATAATTATTTTTCTCAAAGCAAGGTTACATCTGTGAGTTGGATGTAGAAGTGTCAGAATCAATATAGATGTTTTTTATTTTAAAGTAAATTCAGATGGAACATAGTAAAAACATGTCAATTCTAATGTCCACCTAAAAAAAACCTTTACTTATAGTGAAAACCACCCTTGCATGATGGGTTAGTAGACTAAAAGCTTTAGGAATCCAAACTATAACATATAATAAGTACCCTGTATCAAGATTGATGCAAAACAAGTGAAATTTGAGCTTTTTAGAGAGATTTAGAAAAATAAAGTCTAAGCGGACTCACCTCTGGGTAATTTGGGAACCATCGGTTCCATTTGAACTTTTTCAGTGTAAAAATCATTTTATTACTTTGAATTATCACTATAGGTATTCATTCCATCCAAATACAACTGTTGTGAAAAAAATAAAAAAATAAATAAAATAAAATAAAATAAAACATAGGCTTACAGTGAGCCTCTGAATTAGCCCCGAGCGAAAAATGCGAACCTATTACTGCACCGAAAATCACTCCTCGCTCCCTTATTACTTATCCTAGCTGCACATCCAACACATTGTTTATGATCGCAAGGAGACACAGAATCTAACGGTGCCCACCTGAACAGCCCAACACTGAAAGATATAAACTCGCAACGTTATCAACAAAAACGTACATCAAAACAAATGGTGCTAGCGCTAATGCGCTAGGCTAACAATGACTTACCTTCCTCGTTGTCTGGTCTAAACTGGTCTTCAATGGCATTAAAACGATAAAAACGATGATGTAGTTAATCCATAGATTAATATCCAATGGGGCTGTGTCCCCTTTGAAATGTTCTGATAATCTATAAGCAATAAAACTGCAATTCCGCTATCTGCTGTCCGCTCTGTGCTCCGTGCGCTCTGGGTCCTGCTGCATTTCCTGCTTCGTTACGTTGTAAACAATAAATGAAGTCGGCCGCGTAATGTACTTAAGCTGGCTGGCATTCTTTATACTTTACGCAGGACCATATCTCTGGAACCCATTGGTCGATTCGTGTGATTTACACCTTTTTCTTAACCATCAGAACCAATAGAATCGATGGGCGGCAGTTCCCAAATCTACGTAAACATTACCATAGCGGACGTAATAGAGAAACAAACGAAGCATATCTGAAAGTGCAAGCCTGGACGGCAATACTTTATACCGAGTATATTGCCATAAATATGATGATTGATTATCAGTAAAAAATTCTACATGACACAAAGACATTGGATTAACCTTGAGATGCGTTTTTATTCCGTTGAACACAACTTTTGATCACAAATCAAAAAAGGTAAGACGTAATTATTGTAATATTTTTGGAACCGGATGTTGTTTACTTTCTCTTTTCTGGCTGATAGCTCCAGGAATTCGAGGTCTTACAGTGATGACATTACATGTGTGGAATCTGTGGAGTCTCAGCTTTAAATCGTATATCTTGTTTGTGCAGTTAAGATAGTAATAAGGGCATTTCTACCGTGTGTTGTGTTTAAAAAAGCGTTAGCATTAGTTAGCATTTTTTCGCTCAATCCTAATTCAAAGGCTTGGTATTACTCTTGTGTTTTGTTTAGCTAACAATTGTTCTTATTGTCAGTTAGCGGAGTTTCTTACCTTTAAAAGGGTATGAAACATTAATAGTTTCATAAATGTTAAGAAGCCCTGAGACATGTGAGAAAAAAAAAACTGTGGGAGGGGTCCACTGGGGGGACCTTCGGGCTTAACTGGTTAAGCTAGTAACGTTAGCGAACTCAATGTGGGATAATTGCTTATGCAGATGACAATAATTTCAGAGGAGCGTACCTATGTCAGTATGTGCAACAGTCGCCATCCTGTGGTGTTTCATGTCACACAGAATGATTTTAAAAGCAATGTATTTCTACTGGTAGTATTTTTCGTGCCTAAACTTGCTCTATCCAAATCAGTCGCATTGACCCGAAGACACATTTTGAGTTATATACACTGTTGGAAAGAGGATATTCCTAGCTTTCTAACGGAGGAAACATATTTTCGTTTGTCCTGGTCTGGGGGAAGCTCGCGAGTGTGTGTGTTTGTGTATTTTTGCGTTTGTGTGTATTGTGTTTATTTCCCGGGGAAAACACTCACGAGAAACACCGGCTGCCTGCTGTGAAGTAAAGTTACGCCGTTCTCCGCTTGTAATTATGCCGTCACAAGCTTCAAAGCTGTATTTATCATCTGAATTTGCCGAAACAAGTTTAATATTCTGAAAGCTAAGACTTTGTTTATTTTAAATCAGATGAAAACAAACTGTAACGGACCCTGCCGTGTTATCTGATTCCTATACGCCATATATTCATAATTTTAGCTGGAGGGAGGGGGAGCAGCGCTACGGAACAGCAGAGTGGCGAACTTTAGTGGAGTAGAAGTGTAGTACACAGTTGCATAAAATGAAAGTACAAGTATTTTAAAATTGTACTTAACCCTCTATGGCAGGGGTGTCAAACTCAATTTCATCGCGGGCCACATTAGCATTATGGTTGCACTCAAAGGGCCGGTTGTAACTTTAAGACGATATAAATATATGAAATAATGTATTATATGACATTATTGCCTCTGCATTGGATTATTATCGGATAGGGTAATAACTTCATAATTAACTACGTCTGAAGGCGAAAGTCCAGGGCAAATAATTGCAAGTCTCTTCAGTGCGCATGTCACAAAATTAGATGCATTGTGGGACATGTTGTTTATTGGCAATGTGCTTCTGTAAAGTGGCAAGTAACCGTATAATAAACATATTATATTCTTTGAAAGCTCTTGCGGGCCACATAAAATGAAGTCGCGGGCCGGATTTGGCCCCCGGGCCTTGAGTTTGACACCCCTGCTCTATGGCATACTGTTGCCCTCAGGCAACAAACCACTTTTTTCAACCTCACACTGGCCCTCTAAATATATATATATTTTTTAATATACACAATGTCACCTGACATGCTAGTGTCCAATAAAATGAGGGAATTATATGGGTGTGGCATTTTGTCTGGGGGTGGAGCAGTCCTTTCTGCAAGCAAAGCTGCAGGGGACTCAGGGCCACCACTTGGTAAGATACATTTCACTTTTTAACATATTAGAAATGTACACAACTTAAAATCAAAAATACATGCATGTGCATGAATACGTAAAGAAGTATATTTGATTGTTTAAAGACTTATTATGTATTTATTAATTAGCTAAAACGATGTTTTTTTTGTTTGTTCGTTGCTTCAGGGCAACACTGTGCCACTTAGACCACTTTTTTCCAGGCAATATCATGCAAGTGTGCAAATGTGCTCAGCTGTAAAATGAAAAACCTAATCAATGTTTTTACCATCTACTGATATTTATAGGAAATGGACCCCAAAACATGTTATGGGCAGAAGGGACACGATCAGGCTGTAAGGGCTATTCCGTCTGACAGTGAGGACAGTGAAGGTCAAGATAGGGTTAGGCACACACACACAGACACACACATAGACACACACATAGACACACACATAGACACACACACACACATAGACAACCACACACACACACACACACACACACACACACACACACATAGACACACACACATAGACACACACACACACACACACGCACTGTTATGGAAATCTTAGACCCAGTCAATACGGTGGAGATACACAAGTCGGAGTGATCAAACAAATAAATGGTGAAACAAGCAGAGTTGTCTTTCTGGTTATTTATTTGAAGCTTAAAAGACACAGGTCTCACAGAGTATAGGATAGTCTGCAGGCGTGTGCGCAATAGTAATAAAATAGCAAAGCTTATATACAAGAAAGGGCGGGAAGCTCAGAAATCTGTCTTCACACGGTCTCATATTGTTATTAGACACCTGTCCTTGAGCTGTAGATAGTATAACGGTTCTCAGAATAGGGAAGTTCTTGTGAGACTTTGTGTGAAGAGGAGTAGTCTCAACATAGTCTGCCAAATCAGCTCTGTGGCCTTGAAGCACATCTCAGGAAATGGTATAGGTGTTTTAGACAATGTTTTGAGAAGCATTTGGTTTAAGCATATAAGGTAAGATAAAAATGTCCACTACAAGACACACACAGAGACACACACAGACATACACACATAGACATACACACACACACAAACACAATCTACTGACCCAAAGGCTTCCCTCAGTCGCCCCCCCCCCCCCGAGCTCGGCCACAGTCCGGCTCTGTAGGCCTTGTAGTGTTGCAGTAGTCAGGAAGGCAGGGAACTAATTGTTACCTTGGCTGTGTAAGATGTCGGTTTGTTTACCTCAATAGATTTCTATGCTGTTTGGTATAAAAAAAAAGGACTTTTGTGAAGGTTTGTGTCTCCCACTTCCATTTCCTTTCATGTAAATAGTTTAATCCTGTGATTGCTCCTGCATGTTGTGTGAGGATGCATTCAGGGAGTCGTGTGTTCTGCAGACCTGTGGCGGAGCACTCATCCGCCGCAGAGTAGCGAATAAATCCAGAGAAATTCACTCAATGGAGAAAGGATGTTAAAACCCAAACTGGAATCCGGTCTGTCTCAATGAGCCTCATTTTCTGATTTAAAAAGTGGTTGTACATTTTATCTTACGATAAATCAATATTGTAAAAACCAAAACTCTTACAAAGAAAAAGGATCTCTGCACACGCTCCCCCACTTCAGAAACTGACCTCATGCTGTTACTTAGATTAAAGTCTTATGTTCTGTTTTTATTAGAAATACCCAGAGGTGGGACCAAGTCATTGTTTTGCAAGTCCGAGTCAAGTCTCAAGTCTTTGCGCTCAAGTCCGAGTCAAGTCTCAAGTCTTTGCGCTCAAGTCCAAGTCAAGTCTCAAGTCAGGATGGGCAAGTTCAAGTCAAGTCCTAAACTTTGACAAAACGAGTCTTAAACAAGTCATTATGTGCTTTTCACCAAATGTAATGACATCGATCAACAGAATAATACTTAATAATCAAACTGCTCTTTATTAGTCACATTAATAATTTAATAATCCATTTTCTCTCTGCTGGTAAAGTAATGTGTTTTCTTCTATTTTAAGAGGGATCAGTAAGGTAATGCTACCGTGACAGTTTGATTCAGAAGGAGTTTAATGTATAAGATCCCTGATGTTGAGGTAACCAGAATGTTTATTTCCACTGTGTACAACATGTTATAAGGGACCCACAATCTATCTTTATGCAAGGGATAATGTGCAGCGAGGCGGTCTCTATGGGGAAAAGAACACCTGAATCTAGATCCCTCTGCAGGTGGTACTTTAAGTATATTTTGATGCTAATACTTTTCTACTTTTACTTGTAACATTTTGAATGCAGGACTTTTTATTGTACAGGGTTCCTGCAGGTTTCGCCAACTCAAATTTAAGACTTTTTAACACATTTTTAAGACCACTTTGAATAGAATTTAAGACCTATTTCACGGCAATAAAGTATGATGGAAAATGTATATGAAAGAAGAAATACGTCCCATAATCACTTACAAAGTAAATGTATTCATGTTCAACATAAGAACAATGACTGAACATAACAGCATAACAGTACAGAACTGTGTTAGCGTGTTAGACAAAAGTGTGTGTGTGTATGTGTGTGCATCTGTGTGTTAGGGCTGTGCAATTAATCATATTTTAATCGCAATTACGATTTTGGCCTGCCACAATTACGAAAACAACATAATCGAAAAAAAAGATTATTTTGCTTTACTAGGTTGTGACAGTGCACTACAACATATTTGATCTAATTAATTTTTTAGTAATGTATCATTTATTTAATTAATTTTTGTATTGGTTTTTCAGTTGAATTATACGTTCAAGGTAATCAACAGTTAAAAAGATACTGTTCAAATTATTATTTGTTTTAAAGTTCAATAAATGGATGTTTTCAAAGTCAATGAATAATCGTATTTAATAATAATGACATTAATTATTGACCAACATAATCTTGATTATTGCCATAATCGAGCAGTGTGTGTGTGTGTGTGTGTGTATGTGTGTGTGTGTGTTCAAACTTTTGAGCGCTTCCTGTGTCTAAACTGATTCACCGCTCTTAATCTATTAACTATCAACACAGATATCGGCAAAGCTACAGGCAGGCAGGGCCCTGGCATGTCCTGGAAAGAGTTGAGTGCCATACGCCCTTGAGCCTGGACCCAGTATATATCAGTCAGTGTTTGCGTTTTTTACACACACATCCTTATCAGGCTTCGGAAACATCTCTGTCTCCTATTGATCTGAGTATATTATAAAGAATAGCCAGTTAACTGAAGCATTATAGCACAGGCCTTTGTCAGATGGTATATTACGCTGTTTTTTTTCTGCTTCGAATAGTTCTCTCTTTTTTCACCATACCTGTGTTTGCATCACTGATTTAAGCAAACATGGGTTTGTCAACAGCATCAAAAACATGAAAGTCTGTCACACAATCCATTACCTTGTGTTTTGCCTCTCCTGCTTTTCAGTTGTAATCTCGCCTCCAGGTCCTGTTGTCATAAAGAGGCAGAAGAAAGAGAACATTCCCCCGTCTGTGTTCACCATCCCTCCTGAGCTGGATGTATCTCTGCTGCTGGAGTTTGTTGGGTAAGGATCTATACAGCTATGCTGGACAGAATGTTGTCACACCAGCTGTATTACCTATTAAAAAGTAATTAACCTAGTAGACATTCTGCTAGATATTATTTTATGCCCCAGAACAAAGACGATCTACTAAACTACAGTACCAAGGCAAGTTTATTTATATACAGGGCTCCGCACAGTAACCCTGCTGCGAGGCTCCGGCGAACAGTTCATGAGCGTGCTCACTAGCGCACCTCCCCCCATTCATAAAGTCAAGTACCGCTCAAAAGGTCCGGTTTATTTCATTTTAAGAATGCGCACCAAGCAACATCTCCAGGTGTTCCTTTGAGAACCAGGGCAAAAAAGTTATGTGCACCCCTGTTTATATAGTACCTTTCAACTAGGGGTGGGCGATATTGAAAAATATAATATGATATTTTTCAAGCAATATCACGATAGACGATTTTATCACGATATTTTTTCATGTCGGTTATTATGGTTATTTTTCAAGTTACAACCACTTACAAGGAAACAAAAACTAAAATAAAAAGGAGTAACAGACCAAAATACCATTTCAAGCTGGTTTTAATTCTGCAATGAATCCCTGAATGAACAATTCAACAGGAATTTTGATATGGCTTCCTCAGTGTTCAAGTAGGTAGGCCTACACAACAAGCGTTAACACTGGTTTCTTCACCAAGTAAAGTGCACTCTCTTGCTAAATAAAATAAAATATTCAAGGCACAGTTTCTCAGTATAAAAATGCACTTTCTGTTTTAGGTAGCACTAGCAGTGATGTAACATCAATAAACATGAAAAGGAGAGTAAAACATAACTAAGTAAAACATCAATGAGGAAAAGTCAGTGCCAAACAATTAAAATGTAAACTTTAGACTTGAAGTGCAATCAAAGACTTTAGCATAACTGAACATCTGTTTCAAAAGGGAAAAACAATATAAATACCTTATTGATAAAATAAAATATAAGCCAACAGAATCAACCAAGACAATAAATGAAGTGCAATACTGTCTGAATCCTGACTAGACAGCTTGGTTTTTACTAACCGTTATCAGTATTTAGTTACTTAGGCATCATTTTGAAGCGTGTATTACAATTAAATCACGGTAAAATAGGTTAATTTTGTCGTAGTTGGTTTCCACCACAGTATTTACATGGATATGACGGCATGGCCGTCATTGCCGCCGTGAAAATCCTACCCTGGTGCACTCGCAGCACTGGCACTCACATTCTATGACTGAGTGACTCTCTGTATCACGATAGATATGATATCTCTGAAAAGGCATATCGTGGAGACCTATTATCGTCTCGACGATATATATCGTCATATCGCCCACCCCTACTTTCAACACAAGGCAATTCAAGGTGCTTTACAAAAATGAAACACATTCAGACAAAGGCATTTTAATGGAATACATATCAGTGTATTAAAGTCAATACTTCATTCATTTAAACAAATATCTTTCTTTATTCTTTGTACAGTATGAAAAATAGAGTCTTTGTACCTGAGCTGAAGTTCACTGCTGTGAGGAGTCCAGTTCTGTCTCTCACTCTCTGGTCCAGCCTGTCTGCATCACCTGGACACCTTAAACAAACATATATATATATTAGGGCCGGGACTCGATTAAAAAAATTAATCTAATTAATTAGAGGCTTTGTAATTAATTAATCGAAATTAATCGCATTTTTAATCACATATAAATATTTGACCTAAGAACAGTGAGAAGCAATTTTTTTCACATGGATTTTAGTATACCTATAGGCGCATTCACACTGCGGTACTTTTCCCACAAAGGTTCATGAGAATTTAGTTCATGAGAACTCATACCTGGGGGAGGATTAGGCAAATGAAGCCGCTGACGTCACTTCTTCTTCTTCTTCTGCTTTGGGTTTACTGGCAGGCCGCAAACCACTTCACGGCGTATACTGCCGCCCAAAGTCCCCGGCCGGAAGTCCCCGGAGTTGGGGACTGGCTTCAGTAGAAACTGCTGGGAGTCCCAGCAGCCTTCCGAGTAAATCGCCAGAACGCCGACACCTCCTCATCTCCACCGCTCCCATGTTTTATTTTGTGTTGCCATAAGTTAGTCTCTCTGCGTTTCTGCGCTGGGCTAATGCTAATAATGCTAATGCGAGGATAATAAAATGGCGGCTTCACAACACTTTTTGGGAGTTTTACGGGGCGTGGTTTGCAATCCGCCCAGCCAATCAGAAATATAGCTCTTTTCTCACAAGAGAGCCGTACGAAAGTCCCTGCTCTCTAGCAGCTCTCTGCTCTCTATCAGGGACTTTCGTGGGGGTAAAAAGGTTCTCATGAACTAATTTTAGTACCGGCTCTTTTTGGTGTGAACGCGATAAAAGAGGCTAACGTCCACGCTAGCTGCTATATGTTTTGCATTGAGGTGATACTTGAGGCTTGATGTGCTGCGGTGATATGCGAATTCCTTTTTGCATAATTTGCACACAACCGTGCTCTTATCGACGCTTCCATCCGTCCGTTTTTTAAAACAACATTTCCCACTGTTGTTCACTGTGGTTTGTTGTTGTCTGAAGTCATGAACGTTAGTTGGTGCTCCAGTATAATCGGTACGCCTGAAACTCATCCAGTGAGAAACGTTCCGCGGTGCAAAAATAAGTGCGATTAAAATGCGTTAATTTTTTTAACGCGTTAATTTTTGTGTAATTAATTAATCTTAATTAACGCGTTAAAGTCCCGGCCCTAATATATATATATATGTAAAGTACCATGTGTACAAACAATATAACTGATTCTCTTCTGTTGAACATGTTGGATTGTGTATTGTCCGAGTCAGGGTCCTTTTTATTTTACTGTAACTTTGGAAGTTGTGTTACCAATGCTTACTGTTTATTTGATACCAATTTGGTAATGCAATTAATAAAAACAACAAGGTTTGGGTTCGTTCTTCAGATGACTGTGACGTTAACGTGTAAGCTCAATAATGAACTCCAGCTCAACCAACCATATTGTAATATCTAAGTAATCATCTTGAAATATGACATTATTATTTGTAATATACACATCTTATTGTGAGGTTGATTTCACATACACTACTTTGACATGAGCTTGTCTACATACTTGAGCATAGCCAATTTAAATTAACCTTAGCGATGCATACAGTTCCTACCTACATACTAAAATATCTCTCTAAGTTACAAGGATGTAACCTTATCTTATAACCTCAAACAGAAGCCGTTTGTTCTACAGTATTATCCCACTTAACGCTTAACACTTGTCTATTTCGTTTTAACCTTTATATATACAGTCTATGATTTTAACTTGTAGGCTACGATTAGCATCGTTAGCACCGATGTAGCTACCACTCGCTTACACACTAAACCAAGCCTTAACATTCATTACGTAGCCGATTAAAATCATTAACACATAAATAAGTACTCGATTTTCACTTACCGCAAAAAACGCATGCTTGCACCGTCTGTTTTAACCGCAGAGCGAGTCACAATAGTCCGATATATAAGCATAAAGAACAAACAACCACGGCCGGCTTCAAGTTGTGTTCCCTGGATGAGCTGAGCAGGCAGAGTCCCAGTAGCTTCACGGAGCAGAGAGACGAGAAGCTAGCAGCAGCAGTCACTTGACAGAGCCGTCACTCAATGTGACCACGCCCTAATTTATGCAAAAACTTTAAGACCTAATATAAATAAAAGGGTCATGTTAGAAAACAATTCACTCACAGATTCATAATCATGAAGGTGGAACCTAACTATATTCATAATAATATTTATTGCATCCATGGGTAGAAACATGTTTTTTTCTGCTGTAAAGTTGGGCATTTTAACATGGGGGTCTATGGAAATTGCTCCTTTCTGCAGCCAGTCCCTATCGGCCAATATATGAACTGCAATGTGTGGCACTTCCGTATTGGCGTCCCGGCTCTTCTCCAGAGTTTGCCGCTTGGCCAAGAAACACAAGGATTGGACATTAGACAGTGGAAATCTGTACTTTGATCTGATGAGTCCAAATTTAAGATTTTTGGTTCCAACCACCGTGTCTTTGTGAGATGCCGAGAAGGTGAGCGGAAGGTTTCTGCATGTGTGGTTCCCACCGTGAAGCCTGGGGTAGGAAGTGTGATGGTGTGGGGGGGCTTTGCTAGTGACACTGTTGGTGATGTATTCAGAATTCAAGGTACACTTAACCAGTATGGCTACCACAGCATTCTGCAGTAGCCAGCTAAATATAAATCATATTCTGGATTTTTTTTTTTAAACACTTTTTTGTTTACTAGATAATTCCATATGCGTTCTTTTATAGTTTTGATGTCTTCAGTATAACTCTACAATGTAGAAACATTTGAAAATAAATTTAAAAAAATTGAATGAGAAGGTGTGTCCAAACCTTTGACTGGTAGTGTATGTTTAAAGGTCCCATGACATGGCCATTTCTACTGATCATAATTCCATTGTTGAGGTCTACTAGAATAGATTTACATTGTTCAATTTTCCAAAATAACATTGGTTTTCTCATATAGCATCTCTGTATAGTATGTGTATTCACTCTCTGTCCTACATGCATTGTTGGAGCTCCTGCCCCCCCCCTCCCTATGAGCCCAGTGTGCTCTGATTGCTCAGCTTGCCCACTCTGTTCCGATGAGTCCACCACTGTTACAGCGGAACATCAGTGATTATGTGTTACAATCAGTGTTATGCTAGTTACTGAAAACCAGTAACTAGTTACCATTACTAGTTACTTCATTTCAAAAGTAACTCAGTTACTTTACTGATTACTTACACCAAAAAGTAATGCGTTACTGTGAAAAGTAACTTTTTAGTTACTTAAAAAAAGGGCTCCCATTAATGCCCTTATAGCCTTCATTTCAGTACTGTTATTGCATTGGAGAATAATGCAATCTGTTGATCAACTTGACATGCATTATATGCAATCTGGATTGCATCGATATTAGCTGGCTTTCCATTTTTGTATATTCTTTCTCCGGGTAGTTGGAAAAAGTTTTCCGTCCCATATGCCGTGT